TAAATCTTTGATCCATGTGTTTATGCGCCTGTGCATGCATGTGTGCATGCATGTGCGCATGCATGTGCCTGTGGGTTTATGTGTGTCTGTGTGTGTACTGAGACTTGAACCCAGGGCCATACTCATGGTAAGCAAGCACCCTACTAAGATAGCACCAGACTGAACATGTCTAGTTCATTCAAAGTGTTGCTGATTCCGGATGAAAGTAAATTCTTTGTTCTTTGTGGGATTTTTTCACTTCTGAGTGCTCACTTGTTCCTTACTCTCACTGACTTGTCCAAGAAAAGAATCAGTCCCGAATGGAAAGGCCTTTAGGAAGCATCAGCAATTTGAGACACTTTCCTAGGTGACAGTTGCAAATGGTGTTGCAGATTGCAGAAGCAAAGATTTAGTATGGTGGTCATTAAAAGCAATGTTTCTTACTCTCTCTCAGTGCCTTGGCCACAGCAGTGGGTGCAATCTTGTCTGTAACTAAGTCTAGCAATCCTAGGACCAGAGCGATAGCTCAAAGGTTAAGTGCACTGTTACTTTTGTAAAGGACTCAGGTTTGGTTCTCAGCATCCACATTGTGGCTCACATCTCTCACTCCAGTTCTAGGGAATCTGGATGTCCATGGAAACCAGGCACATATGTTGTATACAGACATCTATTCAAGGAAAACATTCATACATGTAAAGTAAATAAAATGATTAAAAAAGTATAGCATTATTATCTGACAGATTAACCATGTGTTAGATCTTCTCATTTCACAAATGAGAAGAGGCTGTGGTTGTCTTCACTTTTTGCTTCTTCTTTGTCTAAAAATGGCTTTCGTAAACCTAGTTTATCTCCTCTTTTTAAAGAGTGGTAATCTTTCTTGAGGAACTGGGCAGAGTTTGGTGTGGAGAGACCTTTCTTGGCTAGGTAGAAAAAAATGCAGAACTGACACAGGCTTTCTCTCTCTTTTTCTTTCCCTCTCTCAATCAAACCAAGAAACAGCTCAATGCCTGACTTTTGGGGAAAAAAAAAAACAACCTTGGCTATATACTTCAGTGGTAGAGTAGTGCTTTCCTAGCATAATGATGGGCCTGGGTTCAAGTGCCAACTCCCCCCCACCCCCGTGCGAACACACACACACACACACACACAGCTTGGGTGAGTTGTCTTTATCTTGGGTGAGGTGGAGTTGGGTTGAGTGAGCATAGGAAAACATCTGTCTTCTTTGTGGAGTTACAGGTAAAACCAGTCAGGTAGATTATTGGTGCAAGTAATCTTAATTCATATGAATGAAGTGGGGAGTAAATGTGCATGTACACATGCATTTGTCAGTGAGCATTTTCACTGATCTTAGCTAGACTTGACAGGAAAAAGGCAACAGGTCCAATAACAATAAGATTGCAGTGAGGAATGACCTGGAAAGATTTGAAATGATACATAGCATTGCTATCTTCTTCTTCATAGAGCTGCAGCCAACATCTAATAGTCTCTTCTACTTGAAAATAAAATCAAAGGTCTTCTAGAGCTCTGCAGGCATAAGGTTATTTTGTAATTTAAATGCTAATTTCTGTACCCCCCCCCAACATATCTGTTTGCAACCCATGTTCTGAGAACCTCCTGTTTCAATGCTGTGTAATCACTGCTCTCCCATTGTCACCTGATAGGCCAATAAAGCATTTTATAGTTAGTTGCTGAATAGGAGAGCGAATAGGGCTGGACTTCCTGTCAGCCAGGGGAGGAAGAGTTAGAAGAGGAAGTAGTAGATTCAGCCATGGGCAGATGTTCTGGATGACCAGGAGAGAAAACTCAGCAGGGAAGCTACAAAGTACAACTATTTCTGGGATGCATGCTAGGAGGATATCAGATTAGTTTAGACTCGGAACCTGTTACAGAGGGCCTCTGAAAGCCAGAAGAAAACAGGAAACAACCTTGAAACCTGCCACAGAGGGCCTCTGAAAGCTTCTGCAGTATAGACTGTCAAAGCAGATGCTGAGCCTGATGGCCAACTGATGGGTAGAGTGAATTGGAATTCTATGTAAGAAGTGGGAAATAGTAAGAGCTGGAGGGGACGGGAACTCCACAAGGAGAGCAACAGAACAAGATAATTTGAACACAGGGAACTTCCCAGAGACTCATACTCCAACCAAGGACTATTTGTGGAGATGACCTGGAACCCCTGCACAGGTGTAGCCCATAGCAGTTCAGTGTCCAAGTGGGTTACATAGTAATGGGAAGAGGGACTGCCTCTGACATAATCTGATTGGCCTGCTCGTTGATCACTTCCCCCTGAGGGGGGAGCAGCCTTATCAGGCCACAGTAGAGGACAATGCAGCCACTTTTGATGAGAACTGATAGACTAAGATCAGAAAGAAGAGGAGAACCTCCCCTATCAGTGGACTTGGGGAGTGGCATGCATGCAGAAAGGGGAGGGAGGTGGGATCGGGAGGGGAGGAGGGAGGGGCTTATGGGGGGATACAAAATGAATAAAGTGTAATTAATAAAAAATTAAAAAAGAATAGAGTAATAACTGCTTAGTTATTGTGTTCTGAAGCTTATTATTAAGTATAAAAGGGTCTCAATTATTATGTGATAGCCAGTTTAAGAGAGAAACTGAGAAACAAACACAGTTTTGTAAAAATAACCCTAACAGAGCTCTACAAAAACTCCTTCTATGAAATACTGTGGGAAATACAGATCATGTTACTAAACTGAGACCATATTTCTCCCTCCCATTTTAGTTCTGGCTTAACTGCTTTTTTTTTTTTTCAATTTTATTTAATAAGCAGAAATGCTAAGACCATAATATAAGAAGCTTGGGACTAAAAACATTCTACTTTTTTTTAAAAAAGAGGAAATTACATTCTTTGTCAATAAGTTCCTGGACAAAATTGCTTTGTGCCCCTCCAGCGTATGGACAATTATTGTTATACCATAAGATTTGTTGTTGTTAAGGCCACTGTAGTGGTTGAAATGAAAGCTGTCCTCTCCGTAGGCTCAGATATTTGAACGCTTGGTTCACAGCTAGTGGTGCTGTTTGGGGAGCTGGGGCAGTCTTTCTGGAGTAAGTACATCAGTAGCGTTTGCTTTGAGACATTGTAGCCTCACCCTACTTCCAGTTTTCTGGCTTAACTTCATGTTCCTGGTTGAAGATGTGATCTCCCAGCTTCCCACTCCTGCTGCCATGCCTCCCCACCATGATGGACTCTTATCCCTATTGAATCATAAACCAAAGTTAAGTTCCCCCTAACTTAAGTTGCTGATGGTCATGGTGCTTTGTCACAGCACCAGAAAAAATAACTAATGCAAATCATCTTATACATGGATGTTGGGGATATAAGGAATGAAAATATATGACCATACAAAAAATTAGAATTAGCTACACCGATGTTAAATAGAATGAAAATATTACAGTGTTAGTACTCAAGAGAGATTGTTTAAAGAAAGGTCACTGGAGAGGGTTAGTTTGACCAAGAATCGTGAAGAATAATGAAGACGTGGAGAGCAAAGGAAAGAACAATGAGGGATAAGGGAAGTAGTGCTAGAAAAGTACCTTTAAAGAGGCCAAGAGGGTGTATAAATGTATACACCATGTATTTTATTGTATACAAGTTTAGTATCTATATCACTTTCCTTTATCACCAAGTATATGCTTGATAGCTGTCATCAAGCTTACTATAAAATGGCAGAGTAGCAGACATTTTGAAGAATCCTGAGTACACCCATAGCTAGGATACATAGCCAGTTTCAGAAAGTTCTAGAGGTGTTAAATGGGAAATTTAGATGAAAACTTCTAACTGACCTTCTTAAATTGTAACTAATTTGATGATTGTAGTGCCCATATTCATAAAAGAAAATATTTTAGTGTGAAGAATCATGAAAGTCACTACTAAATTATGATTATGACCCTAGAAGTTTTAAACTAGACTGAACCAACAGAAATATATGTGATAATGACAATTTTCTCTTTATAACTGCTTTGTCCAGGACAATAGTCACCAATCACATGTGGTCATTATTCTCTGGAAGGATGGCAGAAGTGACAAAGGAACTGAATATTTTTATTCATTTTTAAACCAGTTCGTTGAAGTAGTGCTGGTTACCTTATTGGACAGCCCAACTTTATGTCAGGTCCAGCTTGGCACCTTGCCAAGGCAGGAGAAAGTAGCCTGTCTCTTCACAGATGGAATCACTTAGACTTTGATTATGTGTATAGCTCAGGCCTGGGATTTGCTCCCAATCTAATTCTTGGTTAGATTTTTTAAAACTGCGCACAGGTAATCCTGTATATGCATGTATATTCATGTGCCAAACACATCTGAAGAATTATATAGGTTGACTGTTATTTGGCATGTTGGATGCTGACTTCCTTGAGAACAGTGGGTTTTCAAACTCTAGTAGCTATCAGAGTAACCTGGAGGCCTTCTTTGAACCCACATTGCTGGGTTGTTCCCTCTAGTGGTTTGAATCCAGGGTGATAGGGGTTGAGTGTGAAACTATGTGACTAACAAATTCCTGGTCGTCTGGACATACTGACAGACTTGGGGGAAATGTGGCAGTAGATCAGGCCCCATGTGTTTACTCTAGGAAACTGGTTTTTACCTTAATCCTTTCTATGTGAGTCTTTACCTTAATCCTTTCTATGTGAGACTTTTTCCTTATTCCTATCAGTTTGTCTGGGCCTAGTGACTTTCTGACTCACTGTTTTCCCTAGGGGCTGAGGGTATATGGTGAGTCCCATTATGTGTTGTGTGTAACCCTCATTTACAGATATACCTATTGCTGACAAGTTGTTCATTTTGAATCCTACTGTGATTTTTGTTTAACAACAAATTCTTGTTGACATTGTCTGATAGCTGTCCCTGGACTTGTCTTTCACCAGATGCTTACAGATAGTGTGATGAAATTTATCTAAATACATCTCACAATCCCCACAGGTCTTTCTAATATCCTAGCCCTGTTCTTCATCTGGCTTGTATTTTGCCATCTGAGCTACAGCTTTTAGACACACTGTTAATATAGAGTACCTGCCAAGGGATTTGACCTGGTTTTGTGTTTTCTCCACCAACAATTCGAGTGAGGTCATCAAATGATTCAGGACTTTCAGTGACATTATCCTGAATGGCACTGTCAGTGATGTTATCCAGAATGAATTCAACTTCAGTAGAATTTTCATGCTCTATATCAGAAAAAATAGTCTCAGCGCGGGTGAGCTTCTTAGAACTGTATGCAACAGAAACTCTTCCACATGGAAATGGAACTATAAAAGTAGGGGGAAAAAAAGAGGAGAATATTCTGATGTTTCACAGTGGCAAATGGAAATGCATTACAAAAATTAAGAATAAGCCTCATTCATTGCTGTCACTTAGGGGAAGAAAGCTCATCAATGTTAAAAAAAACAAATATAGTTTCAAACTAAAAGGCTGACTCCATTATTTTCATGCAAAGTTTTTAAAACTTCCATGGGGAAAACATTTGGCTCTGGAGTCCATCATCTTTATGAAAATAAACTAGGTGTTCTAAAATCAAATTAGACTTTAAAAAAATCTAATTACTTTCTATCTAGGTTTTAAAAGTTTTACTTCAAAGTCCCCTTCCCCTGAACGGAAACCTAGAAGGGATGCTGTGTCACTTTCCTTTTAGGATAAAGTACAAGGGGATTCCACTACTTGCTATTAACAGATTATTTTTTGTAGACTATTAATGCACTAGAGGTTCCAATATGAAATTTTTGAAGGAGGACTTTGTGGTTCAATTACATGTTTGTCACAAATTTATAGAATAGGTTACTAATATGTTCACCAAATCCATATTTACTTGGATCTGACCATGTTCTCCCTACATTTGACTTATTTATCAACAAATTGTCTACGGATCTACCAGGGACCACCAAAATATTAATTTGTAGCCAAAGTCACCTCACACTTCATTTTCATGTTTTTGCTCTCCTCTTAGTTACATTCTGCATACCAGACATTTCTATAATAACCACCTATGGTTAAGTATCATGAAGGCAGCTTGCAGTTGAAAAAATAGGAAATTAGTTCAAAGGACGTATGCATAAATATACAAGATCAACACTGGTTTTAGAAAAGGAACTGTTATCTTTGAAAATACAGGACATGCTTCCTACAACTGGAAAGTTCATTATGTTTTTGTTACCTGGTTGTTACCTAGTTGTGGCTTGTTTCCTACACCTGGTTACAGTTTTTTTTCCCCCAGTTGTTTGTTACCTGGTTATGTTCTTTTTTGTATAAAAAACATGCCTTAGGAGCAGACCAACATAGTCTGGCTTCCGAGTCCAGATTATGGCCCTGGCTGTTCAGTTCCTGTTTAGTGTTCAATAACCCTCTGTTGAGTTAAAAAATAAAAAGACAGAACAGCTTATTTTAGGTTTGGCCTACTTATTCTGCTAAAACGAAAGTTACATCCGAAAACAACTCTTAATAGTTGGAGCTGCTTTTCATTTTTTTTCTCTCTTAGAACACTGAAAAGCTTATAAGGACTAAGCCTTTGTGCCAGCTGCCTTCATTGGAAGTTACTTTTTAATGGTAAGTATGCATAGATGAGCATGTGTGTGTGCGCGCGCACACACACACACACACAGACACACAGACACACAGACACATACTTGTACACACTTCTAAGGCAAGGAATGGATAAGGCAGTGTATGTGAAGAAGCAAGCAGAAGGTGAAGCATCACAAACTCTTCATTTCACTTACAGAAGATACACTCTTGTATTCTGGCCTTTCTTTAATTTCCTCTGCCTGGTACATTGCTGAGATAGGTATCAAATCCACAGTTACAGAGGAATGGTTCATCACTTAATCTACCAATTTAATAAAAGATCTGCCTTTGGGCATGCAAGAGCAACTATATCTGGCTTGCTTCAAAATTGTGCTTATTTTTTATTTGTAGGTATGCTATATGTGTGTGAGCACATGAATGTGTTGCTGTGACTACCCATGCTTACATGTGTGAAAGCCAGGGGTTGACATCAAGCATATTCATTTGTGTCTCTGATCTCCAAATGATGTTTTTTGAGTCTGGATCTCTCACTGAACCTGGAGTTCAGCATTTCTGGCTCGTCCTGTCTTCCCATTCAGTGCTGGGTTCATACTGCTTGGCTTTTGTGTATTGAGTATCTAAACTCAGGCCCTCATGCTTGTATTTGAAGTGCCTTATTTTCCTTCTTTTAGTCGTACAAAGCTTGTTTCCCTCTCCGAATAAAAACTGTTGCTTCAGAGGTGAACAATGAGTGTGGACACATTCTAAACAGAGCAATTAGCTGACAACATGGGGGAGGACTCACACAACTGTGAGACATTGCCTTGTGCTTTACTGTAAAGACTGTGGATCAGCCTAAGAGATCATAAGCAGTTGTTGGATCCAGTCTAACAGCATGTATAGAAAGTCAGTTTATGACTCCAGTCAGAAAATCTAATTTTCATAGATTGGAGTAGTTAGGTCCCAACAGACTTATGCCTAACATTTAGCATTTTTTTCCTAGAAACTTACTAGTCAGCCAAGTATTTATATGTCATTTACTGTATGGCAGGGTATTACTAATTTAATCACTGAATCTCAAATATTGTACCTAGATATCCATTTCTACATCCATTTCTTTGTGATATAGAAATATATTAAAAAAAAAACATCCAGAAAAGAATTCAGGTTGTACATAAATTATTCAATTTAAGTCTGAAATGTTGGTGCCATTTGGAAACTTAACTTGTTTGTTTCAAGCTACTAATTTTTTGTTCAATTTCAAAAGGTAGTAGATACAAGTATTAAAAGAAGGTAATTTGGGAGCTGAAGAGATATCTCAGTGGTTAAGAACACTGACTACTCTTTCAGAGGACCTGAATCTAAGTTATAACTGAAATTTTGGAGGCTTAGTGAACACCTACATGTTAGCTTACTAAGCCTCTGTAACTCCAATTCAAGGGGATCTGATACACTCTTCTTACTTCCACAAGTATTGCACACACACGAATACATACATGCAAACAAGACACTCATACACATACAATTTAAAAAAATCTTTAAAAGTCTAAAATAATGTCATTTAAAGGCGAAAGATTCTAATACAAATTTTCTTAAATAACATATTTAGATCTTGACCTGTTGGTTCACAGGACTTCTGGTCTTCTGCAAGTTGGTATCCTTCAGTGCAGGAACAAATTACCTTGTTATCAGCACCATTTTCACAAAACTGCTTGCACCTGCCATTTTTAATTTTACATGTTACATCTAAAAGAAAAAGAAAAAGAAAGCCTAATGGCTCATCTGACATTCATTTCAAAAAGCACATGAAACTTCTGGCTCATGTGTGGGTTAAACACAAATTGAAAGAATCTGGGAGCCTAGTGCTAAGAGTAGAAAATAAGGTAAAATAAGATTCTCAGTAAGGCATGAAGATGGTGTCAGCAATATTTTGTTTTTGTGTGCAACCAAATAATTGGATATTGTACTTTGACTAATCATGAACTACAACTAGAAACCTATTTATTGAAGTAAAACACGAATTCAGGAAAGTCAATAAAACTGTTCTGTGAAGTTTTCAAAGTAAATTCACCTGTTTAAATGAGAGCCAGTCCCTGACATTGTTAATGATGCTCTGCTATGCTTGACTATCATCTTTGAGGCTCCAGCCAGCAGCAGATCTAGACAGATGCTGGGACTTACAGCCAAGTGTGGGACAGAGCTCAGGAAGTCCTGTGGAAGTGTTGAGGAAAAGATAGAAGGGCCTTGAGGGGGACAGGTATCCCAGAAGAAGACCAACAGAGACAACTAATCCAGTCCCATGGAGACTTTCAGAGACTGAGGCATCAACCAAGGATCATGCATGGTCTGGACCTAGGCCCCTTGAACATATGTGGCCTATGGGCAGCTTGGTCTACATATGGAGTGTGTGGCGGGGTTGTTGTTTCTAACATGGACTCTTTTGCCTACTTTTGGATCACTTCTCCCTGGTAGCAATGCCTTGCCTGGCTTTAGGGAATGAGGATATGCTCAGTCCTGATGTGACTTGATGTGCTGGGGAGGGTTAAAATGGGGGGTGGGGGAGGTTCTCCTTTTCTGGAGGAAGGGGAAAAGGAAAGGAAAAGAAGGGGAAAGGAGAGGTGCTGGAAGGAGGGAAACCCTTGGGAGTTTTTGAAAAAAATGTTTTTTTTTTAAAAAAACACACAGGTTAATAAATAGGATGTTATCAATCCCTGCAAGTCCTGTAATGTTCTCTCCCAATCATTCTGCTCTTTCTCCGTTACAAAAGTTATCACTAACTAGGCTTCAAACATAGCTTAGATAATTCATGAACTTTTTGTAAAAAAACACATGTATTTTTTGTTTGGCAATTTATTTGTGAAATTCATCTATATGCTTTTGTATAGCAATAGTTCATTACATTGCTGTGTCCTAGTTCATTGTATTAATACATTTTCATCCATCTATTCTACTATTTGTTAAAAGTACTTGTGTGAACGTGTGTGTCTGTGTGTATCCACATAAGCCAGTGTGTGTGTAGAGTACTTGTACATATTTCTTTTATTATTAAGCATGAAATTTTTGCTCTGTTCTAAAACTTGTTTTCTATTTATTATGGTATAAATTTAATTGGTACTTGTTATTGTCTTCATATACAACATCTTTTCTGTATGTTTATTTTAGTTGTTTGAAGTTAATGTGATAAATAGTTCATAGTCCAGTAAACTGGGAGATGAAGAACCAACTTGAGATTTTCTTTTGGCTATTAATAATCCACTATGATCAAAAAAAGATGGCATCTGGTCTTTTGCATTTACTTAGTTTTTAGGACCTTTCCTCTCATGAGTGTGATAAAATCTCTGGCTCTTTTCTTGTTCCTAGCTATCATATTGTTGCCACAATGCAGCACTAAAATGTTCAGCCAAATCAAATACCACTTGAAGAAAATGTTCCATCAATATGAGGTTGTGATTAGTTAACAGAAGTGGGTGGTGATAACAAAGTAGTTGTGTCCAGGGCAAGTAGGAAGGGAATGAATAAGCTTGGTGTGATTTTCTATTCTGCTTCTGTATCCATGGCTAAGCAACCCGACCTCTCAGTCATTTTCTTATTTGCTATTGCCCTTTTTGGCCCAGCATGTTGCTGCAACTCCTGATCTCCAGGTTGGTTGGTGCATGTGGTGGGATGTATTGCTGTAGCATCAGCAGTCTTTTGCCTGCAGCCAGGAGGCTAAGGGCTCTATAAATAGAATGAGAGCACAGGAAATTTCAGGGGAGAGGTCAATAGAGCAGGACCTGAGAAGCAGAATGGAATTCATTAATCACTAGGTTGGGTGTAGGTTTTCCTTGGTCTCAAGGCTGGCCTTGATACCTAGAATATCTGTTGAAGAACTTTTAAAAGCTTTTGTTTTCTTCCTCTTCCTGATAGCCCTGGGTTGCCCACCAGAGCCTTAACAAAATTTTGTCTTGTCTAACAGTTTTGACAGAAAACATGTTATTCAGCTAAACTCAATAATTTTTCCATCCCCCAAATACATAGTAAATAAGATAATTGGATCTGTGGTGTGCTGAAAAACTAAAGAAATAAAAAACAACCCCCCAAAAAACACCAAATAAACAACAATAATAATAACACAACAAACTCTGAGAGAATGCTCTTGTGTTTGTAATTTTATCTTCCTAATTTATTTTTCTGCATTTTTTTGGAGGAATGGATGACTGACTCTTGCAGACCTTGATCTACCTAATAGACATTTGGATTTCTTCTGAAGCAGAAAAAATCCACTGATCTTTACTCTAGCCAAAGAGACCCAGTAGCCAGTTAATTCTTGTTTTTCTACCTAGAAAGCATGTTTCAAGTGTTTGCTCATTATTCCCTTAACTAAGAGCCAAGCAAAAATGAAAACAAAACTCACAGGAGTGGAAATCTTTCCTTTTCCAAGACAAGGTAATGCCTGGGCCTACAGACCTATACACTGCTGCCTCATGACATTTCAGGTTTGTGCTCAGTTCAGCTTGAAGCAAGAAGCTTAAATGGGAGTTTATATATGCTTTGTTTTTGCTCTCTCCTCTGGTGTCCAAGATAAAGAGCATTTTGACAAAATTCCCATTTTTTTTTTTCTGAACCAGCTGAGCTGAAAAGATTTTTTTTTAAAAAAAAAACTTTATCAAATTGGTTGGATCTGATCAATATACCCTTGAGAGTAAGTGTGGTGGTGGCTGCAGCACAGCTACAGAGCCCTGACCAAACATAAATGTGGAAAGCAAGGAGTACTGAGATGTTTCCAATTGTAGACTTAGCACTTTTTCTGTGTGGACCATAACCTCCCACATACAGTGCATCCTGTTACAGAATTCGGAGCTCATGTTCACATTCCTCGAGGGTTTTCTCTTCCTCCTTTTAAACTGTCTGTCTTTTAAAACAGGATAGAGAGCCGTCATGCTGGCTCATTGGTTAAGGGCATTTGCTGCTTTCTCAGATGAACCAAGTTCAGTTCCGAAAGCCCATGTGGAGGCTCACAGACAGTTTTTACTGCACTTCAAGAGGACCCTCTGCCATCTTCTGGCCTCTATGGGCATTGCATGCACATGGTACACAGATATACATGCAGACAAAGCATCTTTAAACATAAAATAAAATTTAAATCTTAAACTAGATGGAGACTTACATTTTTTTAAATTAAAATTTATTTTATTATATTTTGAATGTGTATGGGTATGTTTTGCCTGCATGTAAGTTTGTGCACCATGTACATGTTTGGTGCCTGCAGATGCCAAAACAGAGGTTTGGATCCCCAGAACTGTAGTTACAGATAGCTGTGAGCCGGTATGTAGATTCCAGGAACTAAACCTTGGTCCTCTGGAAGAGCAGCTAATGCTTATAACTGATGAGCCAACTTCTCAGCCCAACCTTTATGTTTGCAATTGGCATCTACTATACTGTAAACTTCAATCATAGCAAAGACTGGGTTATTCATTTCCTTTACTCCAGAGGCTTCATTGTTTGAGCCAATAATGAGTGACTACTTAAAGTATTCATTTAGTTATATATCTGGAATATGAGGACCAATTTTCACTACGTCTGAATTTTAAATTATAATCTTTCAGAGCAAATGACACTTTAAAGATGTTGAATCTATAAACATACCCACAAGAGTGGTAACTCAAGCAGTGGTTTAGTGCTATAGCAGAAATTCTAAGCAAATGGAAGTCCAGCCTGAGTATATTAGTTCACCCACTTGCATTCATTCTTTCTTTTAAAATTCCTTTGTCCTTTCAACTTTTCTTTTTATTCTGAGATCTTTCAGATCTCAAAGGAAGATGATCAATGAACTTCCCCTTGGTACCAAACAATATTACAGGGACTTTTATCCCCTTTCTCAACAGGACAAGTGCAGCTGCTGCCTTTCATTTCGTTTTGTGCCTTGTTCTTCTGTCAGAGAGATGGCTATATTGCCTTAATAGTGTCCCACTTCTTTTCTACTCTTTATCCTTAGCCAAGTAGCCTGTGGTGTTAAATTCTTTCCCTTAGATTGCATCTCTATTCTTACAGAGTTTCAGAGTGGAGAATCTTTTCTTGGTACCACGTGCTTTTCTCAGTCACACTGTCAGCAATACTACATCCAGAGGCAGTAATCAAGTAGGTAAAGGACTTTGGGGTTTACAGCTCAAGTAGTCAAAAATCTCAAAAAAGAAATATTCTAGCCTACAAGAAGAAAAGGTAAACAAACACCTTACATTTTCAAACTACTTTTTTTTCTTCTGTTACTCTTTGGTAGAATCAACATGTTGAATTGAGGAACAACCTCTGATTTTTACAACCAATTTAACTTATAAAATGCTTTGTCCATTTGGAAGAGTTCCTATTACATAGGGGCCGGTCATGCCCAGTTCTAAAGTTATTCATTTTCTTTGCCTGGACCAACAGTGACTCAGTTACAACTTCAAATCATTTTATGAGTGTAGTTTTCTCAGAGTTTTGAGTACAGTGCAGCTGAAGTTCTCTTCTTGACTCAACCATTTATACTTCTGATCTTTGAGCTGAAGTCTTCTCATGTTCATAAAATGGGGGTAATAATGGTACTGAGCACATATGACTTTATTAAGGATTAATAAGTAAAGGGGATGGAACCACTCAATACCCGCTTGAATTCATATTCTGAAAATGCACTATAGAGAAAGTGAGTGCTTTGAAAGTGTGTTTTCAGAGAAATGTATGATATACACATATTACATTTCCTGTTTCATCTAGTTTAAAAGGAAACTTTGAACCATGAATTATAAAAAGTTTACTTACCTAATTCACAGTTTCTTCCTTCAAATCCAACTGGGCACCAACATTCATAGGAATTAATATCATCCTTGCATTTCCCACCATTTAAACAAGGATCTGATTCACACTGATCTCCATCTTTAAGACAGGTTAAAAAATTGAATTATCAGATAAATTGCATAGAATACCCAGCCCTAGCCTGAATAGATTTTTGAGGGTAGAATTCTGATTTTAGGATCAGAGAAGAACTACTGAGCTGCAAGCAAGCTTCATATAGGCAAGTGATGGACCTCTTCTCCCAAGATTCTAAAAGCCACTGAAGCAAAGGCTTTCAGGCTAAATGCCGTCCTGGAAAATTGTACACAGAGAGGTATACATACACAATATATACAATCCGAGGGAAGAGGGAAGATGCGTTTGTATAGAAATTACTATTTCAGCAGACAATGGGAAAGACTGGCAGTGATTCTTCATGGAATGGGAACAGGAACATAAATAAAATTAAATTGAACCACTTCAACAAATACTATTTATATTTCATATGATGACATTATTGCAGGTTTTGCAGAGCAAGCTGTGCTAGATAATAAAGGTGTTTCTACTCCTGGGCTGAAACTGGCAACCCAGGCAAAGTATCTACTTCCTTGTTTTGCCTTTTATTTCTTACCTATCATATGAAGTAAGGCTCTGTGACAACAGGAAAGGTGCTAGAAGCTTAAGGATAGTTTTCTGCCTACCAGTTATGTTCCAAGTAGCGTCATGTTCAGTACATCATTAGAAACTGAAAAGCACTATTGGATGTGCTTAGGAATACATTTGCTATTTCCATTCAATGTTTTCTGAAGTTTTTACATTTATAGAGTCTTTGAAGACTCTGATAGTAGAATAAAAACAAACAAACAAAAATAACAGGAAGAAAGAATAAGCAAGAGGAGGAGGATCAAGAACAGAAGGAAAGCTTTAAATCTGGTTTCTTAGTATTTGGTCCTCATTTATACTACTAAGAAAGCTTCAAGGGAATAAGATGAATCCAACCAGAAGGAGAGAACTTTGTATTTTGAGCTATAGAAAAACTGCTACCTATGTCTGCAAGACCTCACATATGAGAAAGAAAATTATGAGATAAAATGGTATCAAAAATGAAATAGAGAAAAATGAGAAGAACCAAAGATAAATTTCATTATTAGTCATACTTTATAGCCAAACTCTTTTACATATATCCATGGAAGCATTTGTCCAGGTTCTGTTGACTAAGGGACTAGGATCCTTTTTCAGAAATAAACTCTCTGGAGAATTGGATTGCTGTAAATATTAGACCTTGCACTCTCTGCCCCTTGATCCAATGTGCTTTTGCACAGATATTGCAATTTGTTCCAATTCTATGAAAACAAAATACATTATCTCTGGTTTATTATTATTGATGTTCAGACCTGGTCTAAAAATGAGATACATTTGTACTTTCTATTATAGACCAATGAATCTGAATTATTTAGGATGTTTCAGTGAAAGAGTCTGGGCTTGCAGCCAGCCACATAGGAAACTCATTTGCTGAGACATATTTTCAAACTGAGTGTCATTTCATTTTGCATTTGGGTTCCTTTCTGAGTGTACAATAGGCCAGGAGAAAACCATAGTTGGTTGAGGTCAGAGACAACATGAGACAAGACAGTGCAAAGTAAGATTCTCTTTTAAGACTACTAGGTCCTGGAGCTGGAGAGGGAACTCAATGATTAAGAGCATTTGTTGTCCTTGCAGAGGATCTGGGTTCAGTTCCCAACACCAACATGGTTGTTTATTACAGTCCATAACTACAGTTTCAGGGGATTTGACATCCTTTTCCTTGTCTCCACAGTAACCAGGCACACATGTGGTGCACAGACACACATGCAGACAAAATACTTATACACATAAAATGAAAAGAAATAAACCCTTAACAAAAACAACAGACTACTAGGTTTTTATTTAATGAATAATAACATTTGTGTTTCAAGATCATGAGCTGTTGTGGTTAAAGAAAACGGTTGGCAAGAAGAGAACTAGGGTTTTCTTCCAGGTCTTGTGATTCCTCAGCTGGGTGATCCAAGGCAAATCCCTTACCCCTTCTAAGCCTGTTTCCTTCTCTGTGGAACAGAATTCCTATTGCTTTACCCATAGGACTATGAGAGTTAAATGTGATAGGCATTCTATAAACTGTTTCTGTGAATTGTACTCAAAGGTGACTGATAGATGATAGCTCAGTCTGGCTCTTTTTATGATGAAGTAGTGGCAGAAAATGACACAGCAGTGAGGAGCCTGAGCCCAGGCTACTTCTGAGTAATACAGGCTAATTTTGTGATAGGTAGTAATCTTAACTACATATGAAAACAAGCATGGGCTTTGTTCCTTTTTTGTTCTTGGTTGTGTTGTTTTAGGGTTTGGTAGTGTGTGTGTGTGTGTGTGTGTGTGTGTGTGTGTGTGTGTACATGTGTGTATGTTGAAGTCAACTCTGCGTGTGTTTTTGCACTTCCTCATTACCTTGTTTTCTGAACTTGGAGAGAAAAACGAACCATTACATTTTTTTTTTCTCACAGAATTTGATTAGGGTAAGCTGGCTAGCCAGCAAGCCACAGAGATTTCTTTTGGTCTCTACCTCTTCAGTGTAGGGATTATAGGCAAGCACTACCCACACTTAGTTTTTATTTTTTTAGCATTTGTTTTATTTCTATTATTTTTTGTATTTTACCATTTTTTACTACATTTTGATTAAAATATGATTCCAACACTTTTCCCCTTTCCTTTGTATACTCCAAACCTTCTCAAACCCCTCCTTCCAACTCTTTCCATGATCCCCACTCTCAAATTGACAATCTCTTTTTCTTTGGTTATTATTGTTATATAAACATACATCAAAAATATTTAACTACAATCTACTGGGCCACTCTTTGTTTTTTGTTTTCATATGGATTCAGGGGCTAAAGTCATGGATGTTAGAAGAGAATCAACTACTGACACTTTTCTAGATGAGAATAATTCCTAACTACATTATAAATCTTATCCTTATACACACATGTAAATGCCACTTTTTATTAGATAACCAATTTGGAGACTGATATTTGGAGAGATAATTCATTCTCTCTCTCTTCCCTTCTCTTTGCCCCTCTTAGCTCCAGCCCCAGCTCCAGCCCAGTCCCAGAAGCATACTTAGAAGTTGAGTAATGACTTTCTAGGTCAGCTAAATTCAATTTTTTATTATACCTTGATTACAAATACCCATGAAATACCCCTTATCAAAGAAGCTTCTTTGTACAGAAAATGGAGACCATCATAGAAAACACCATTGGACACAATGAAGAGAACAACAGATCATGGGGAGCCTAGTTCCAGTAAATACATTTGTGTCACAGTTCTTTGATATATGGCTCAGTGAGCATCAAGGAAGAGGGGGCAGAAAGATTCTAAGAGCTAAAAACACCAGAAAGTCTGCTGTGAAACAATCTCCCTTAGAGCCGGCTGCACGAACAAGATCTGAACAATGGCGATATCGTTGGTAATGTTAGTGTGGAAGGAAGAAAATCTGAGTCTCACCCCTAGACAAAAAAAAAAAAAAATACAGATAACTGCTAAGAAAGAAGGGAGATGGGAGGGAGGGAGAGGGTGAGGGAGAGGGAGAGAAAGAGAGAAAGAGAGGAAGACAGAAAATTACCTCTTCAAGGATTAGCCTCCAAATTGGTTATCTAATACAAAGTGGTGAATGGGTTATGAGGATTAAACTAAGGTTTTCATCTGTGTTGGCTAAACCTTCTTATTGTTTGTTTGTTAATTTGACATAAGCCAGTGTCATTTTGGAAGAAAGAACCTCAACTGAGAAAATGCCTTAATCAAATTAGCTTGTAGACAGATATGTGAGGCATTTCCATGATTAATGATTGATGTGTGAGGGCCTAGATCCCTGTGGCTGATGCTAACCAAAGGTTGTGTAAAACTGGTTGAACAAGCCACTAAGTAGCACTCCTCCATGGTTCCTCTCATTGCTCCTTTTACCCTGCCCTGAGTTCTGTCAATGTGATCAGTAAGTGAAAACAAATAAACATTTCCTTCCCAAGTGGCTTTTGGTTCTGTGTTTATTAAGGCGACAGAAATCATCAAACTAATGGAGATACTTTTATCCAACCTCCTCGTTTATATTTAAAAATAAACTACAAACTTCAAAGTTTTATCTTCAGACAAAACAGTTTGCATAAAGTTTAAGACTTGGCAGCATTCATCATTAAAAATAAGGAAATCCAGGGAGAACCTCTTTTCTTTCACAACTTAATGGAAAATGAAGAAACAAGAGTCAATTAAGAAGGTATGAGAATTTCTAGAATTTCCTTTTCCTCCAGAAAAGAAATTTTGAAAAATAAAATTGGATCTCAAGAATAGTTCATTTACTCTGTTCATGCAGATAGTGTGAACAAAGTCAACCTGTGAGACTTCTCTCAAAATCCTGCTTTTGGATTTGAATTGTTTGAGATTTGTATTTGTAGACAAAAATTGTAATTGTACAAAGATAAAATGTAAACAATGAAATTGGTTGTTAAAGCATTACATTTCTTCGTGCCTCCATTGCAGATGCTGTTATAGGTGTGAGGGACCCATCAACAGGTGAAGCAACTGAGTCCTGCTGAAATGAAGCTTGCAGTCGATTAGGGAGAGACAAATGAACAGTAAGTTGTTGGGAAAAATGCTACAGGTTGAATATCCACAATCTGAAAGCTCAAATTCCAAATCACTCCAAAATCTAAAAATTTTGGGGTACTAATATAATGCTGAAAAAGAAAAAATTCCATGCTGTGAAATCGTTACATAAACAAAACTATTAAAATTATTGTATGACATGATCTTCAGGCTACATGCTTTAAATTATATTAAGATATTCATGTAAACATATATATGTATATATAAAAAATTCTGCATTTAGAGTTGGGTCCCATGCCAAAGAAATCTCATTACATATATGCAAATAATGCTTACAAAAAAGCCACAATTTAAAGCACTTTTGGTTGCAAGCATATTAGATAAGAGATGCCCAATGTGTAGTTTATAAAACAGAGCAGCAACTTGCAAATCAAATCAAGTCTGAAATTATCTCACACTGTCAAAATGGCTAAGATCAAAATCTCAAGTGACAGCACATGCTGACTAGGGTGTGGAAAAGGGGAACATTTCTCCATTGTTGGTGGGAGTATAAACTTGTAAAACTACTTTGGAAATCAATCTGGTCCTTCCTTAGAAAATTGGGAATAACTTTTCCTCAAGACCTAGCTATACCTCTCCTGGGTATATACCCAAAAGATGCTGTGCCATATAACAAGGACACTTTCTTAATTATGTTCATAGAAGCTTTACTCATAATAGCCAGAATCTGGGAACAACTTAGATGTCCCTCAACCAAAGAATGGATACAGAAATTTTGGCACATTTATACAACAAAATATTACTCAGCTATTAAGAACAAAGAAATCATAAAATTTGCAGGCAAATATATGGAACTCGAAAAGATCATCTTGAGTGATTTAACCCAGACCCAGAAATACACATATGGTGCGTATTCACTTATAAGTAGATTTTGACCATATCGTACAAGATGAACATACTATGAGTCACAGACCCAAAGAAGATAAGTAGTAAGGAGGATCTATAGGAGGATGCATAAGTTTCACTGGAAGGGGAGATAGACTAGATAGAGGTAATGGTTGAAGATAGGGAACAAGGTAGGAGAGGGAGCACACAGAGTTAAGAGGGTGGAGATCAGACCCGAAGAGGGCAAGGACATGAGGACAGAAGCCCTGTAGAGAAAAGCGAAACTGAGGGTGGGGAAATTTCTGACAAGCTGTAAGACCTATGTTAGGGCAGGCTCCTGGGAGGATATGAGGGGGATTCAAGCATTCCTAGTAGCAGAGAGACTGAAGAAGACATCCTCTAACTAGACTAGTCTTTTAATAAAGGGTGGGGAGCACCAACCAACCCACAAAATCTTTGACCCAAAATTTACCCTGGCTGTGAGATGTACAGGGATAAAGATAGAAAAGATAGAACAGAGACTGATGAAATGCCCAACCAAAGCCTAGCCCAACCAAAGACCCAACCTTTTAGAGAGTGCCAACCCCTGACACTATAAAGGATACTCTGCTAAGCATGCAAACAGGAGCCTGTCAGAGTTGTCCTCTGAGAGGCTCTCCCCAGGAGCATCTCAAAGCAGATGCTGACACTCACAGCCAAACATTGGTTGATGAATAGGGTCTCTTGGAGAATAGTTGGAGGAAAGAGAAAAAGACCCAGAAGTGAGAGGAGCGCCATACGAAAAAACTACAGAGCCAACTAACCAGGGCCCAGAGGGGTTTGATGAGACAGAAGCAACAACCAATGACCATGTATGAACAGGATTTAGGCCCCCTACAAAGATGTAGCAGATGGGCAGCTTAGGCTTCAAGTGGATCCTCTAGTAAGGGAAATGGAGACTGCATCAGACACAGACTCACTTCTTAGTTTTTATATTACTTTCCCTGGCTGGACTTCCTTGACAGGCAATGGAAGAATAAGACAAGTTTAGTCCTGATGCAACTTGGTGAACTGGGGTGGATGGGAAATGGAGCTTCCATTTTCTAATGAAAAGGGGAGAGGTGAAGGGGGAGGAAGAGAGAGGGTTGGGCTGGGAGGGGAGGAGGGAAGGGACTACAAGGATGTAAAGTGAATAAAATAAACTAGAAAAAACAAACGAAACCAAACAAACAACAGGACAGAGTATAACACAATTGTCTAAAATGGTAGAGTTACCAGGGAGCAGGTTGGAATGTTACTACTTCAGCAAGGGAGGACTCCCTGAGTTTGGGGAATTTGGGAAAAGTCCCTGAGTAAGTTAAGGAAGTGAGCCTAGCAGAAGCTGGGAAGAGTTGGCTAATGAGAACAACCAGATAATACCTCTAACATGGGAACAATATTAGGGTGTATAGTGAACCCCTTTGTGGAATGAGGACAGTAGTAGTAGAGGTGGTCAGGAGAACAACAGAAAGGGATGGTATGTCAAGACATGGAGGGCATTGGAGACCATCTCAGTGATGAGGATTTAACATAGTAAACATTGCCAATCATCATCTCTGATTCCACTAGTGACAGCAAACTTTCATTTAGCTCTAAGATGCAATTGTTTTGCTTTCTTTCTGTATTTGAAGTTTGTTACTGATACTGTACAACCTTTCTTTAGATATAGAAAAAAATCCCCACAAATCTCAAATGTTTCATATAACAGCTAGGAAATAAAATGAATTACTTACCAACATACTGCTTCCAAAATTCAGTCTGTAAGAAAAAGAGGAAAGCTTAATGGTAGTCTTTCAAGTGTTTGATGTGAATTCCTTTTCTTTGATAACATTGGTGATACAACATGTACTGATATTTTAAGATTTCAAATACAAGTTTCTTTCCTTTTAAAATTGATTTAAAAATGCTTTTCATTTTGCTTTATGTGTACGGGTGTTCTATCTGCTTGCATACATGCACCATTTGTATGCAGTAGTCAAAGAGGTCAGAAGAGGGTGTTGGATCTTCTAGATGCTTGGAATTGATTTGAACCTGTGTCTTCTGGAATAACAGCCAGTGCTTTTAAATACTGAACATCTCTCTAGTCCCATTCTTTTTTTTTTTTTAAATTAAGGCTTTCCACCTTTTGCTCTGGGACATATTGTTCTGGTATAATGTCGGTATACTCACGGTTTTTTCAGTGTTTTCAAAAACTTCTCTTGCTTCTTCAAAACTACATCTTTCTTCCATACACTCTCTCTCAAGGTTTCCTTGGACAAACTCTTCCAGTTTTCCTGAATTATATCTCTTTGGACGGATAAGAATTTTGGAGGCATTTTCACGATCAAGGAAAACTGAAATTTAAAAGAACAATTCTTTAGTTTCAGGAAAAAAAAATACCACTCTGAAAACTAAGTATGTCTTTTAAGAAAAGGTTTGTTTTTGATCCAAGTAATTCTATAGGTAATTTCGCCTTGGGGCACAGAGTCCAAATCTGTGGTGTTCTCATAGTACTGTATATATGTGGAGATTTAGGAATTAAAATTCAAATTTATTCTTAGTCAGTACAGCTCCCATAATAAAAGGTCAAATTTTCAGTTGAATTTGTTTTTAACTTTGTATGAAAAAGAAAGTTCTCAAATAAACAGTTAAGTTCACACTTTGTCATCACTTGAAAATAGCTCAGTGCAGGATCCTTGCAAGGTGATCCATCATTATCCTGGCTGGGCTGTTTCCAGCATGTAGTCTGCCAGTGACTTTGCAACAAATATCGAGTGAAAAACAGAAGCCTGTTTTTGTTTGGCTTGATTTTTGTTTTGTGTTTGGAAAGAGAGTGAGAGAGTGAGAGAGGAAGAGCAAGAGTATGAGCGAGAGAGTATGTTGGGTGGGTAGAGAGGTTGGGGAAGGGGAAAGAATATGATCAAAATATTTTGTAAGAAAATATATTAAACAATGACCACAACAACAAAACCCCAACTGTAGACAAGCTGAAAATGTGACCCCATTGCCTCTCATGGGATAGTGAGGAACAATCAAGGCATAATTGATTTTATCTTCAGGCCTATGATGCCTTTAGTTGGTATATGAATGCCAGTGATGTAAACATTTCATTGAATTCATTCCTTTATCTATGACTGTCTACTCTGTAGGACACTTCTGGGTTTTTTTGAGGATTGAAATCTTTGAATTGTCTGCCTTCTTCCTTTTCTTTCTCCTTACCTCTTCCTCTTTGTATTTATTTCTGTTTCTCCATCTCTCTCCCACTTGCATACACTATGTGTGTATGCATATATATGTATATGTGTTTATGTATGTATATAATTGTTAGCAGAGGCCTGAAAAGATGCTTAGAGTTGTTTCTTTTTTTAAAGAGACCATCAATATTAGGGCTGGAGAGATTGCTTAGTGGTCAAGAACAGTTACTGCTCACAGAGGATCTAGGCTTAATTCACATCAGGTGGCTCACAACTGCCTGTAACTCCAGGACCAGGGGATCTGATGTCCTTTGGCCTCCATAGATAAGCACCTGCCTACATGTGACCAACTAAGTCTCACATTCATATACACTTCCCCAGTTCACTCAATCCCTTGTCAGTGCTTTGCTTGCTAGGCAGTATTGAGGTGAAGCAAGTATATGTATCGCCAAGTTGCTTTTGGGTTGCTCTGTGCATTGATATCTCAGGTCTCACAGTAACTCATTTGCTTGGCTCAAGTCACTCCTATAGAATGTTTACAGTGGTACTGACTGATAATGTGGAGGGATGAAAAAAAAACAGGTTTGTAATCAGATTGAACAGGCCTCAAATCACATGTATCTGACTCTTATTGACCGTGTGAACATGGGCAAGTCATGTAATGTCAGGAACTTAATTTTCTCAAATGTAAAATGGGTGTAACAGCAGTGTAAGAGTATGTACCTCAAATGCTTTTTCAGCATCATCCATTCATGTTTAAAGTCTTGGAGAGATCAGGGATACAAGGCACATATCTAAACATAGTAAAGGCAATATACAGCAAGCCTATAGCCAACATCAAACTAAACGGAGGAAACTTAAAGCAATCCCACTGAAATCAGGGGCAAGAAAAGGCTGTCCACTCTCTCCATATCTCTTCAACATAGTTCTGGAAGTTCTTGCTAGAGCAATAAGACAGTTGAAGGAAATCAAGGGGATACAAATTGGAAAGGAAGAAGTTAAATTATCACTATTTGCAGATGATATGATAGTATACGTGAGTGACCCCAAAAACTCTACCAGGGAACTCCTACAGCTCATAAACACCTTCAGCAAAGTGGCCAGATAAAAAATTAACTCCAAAAAATATGTAGCCACCCTGTATACAAAAGGCAAAAGGGCTGAGAAAGAAATTAGAGAAACAACACCCATCACAATAGCCACAAATGACATAAAATACCTTGGTGTAACCCTAACCAAGCAAGTCAAAGACTTGTATGAAAAAAATTTCAAGTCTCTGAAGAAAGAATTAGAAGAAGATATCAGAAGATCTCCCATGCTCTTGGCTTGGCAGAATTAACATAGTAAAAATGGCCATTACCAAAAACAATCTACAGATTCAATGCAATTTCCATCAAATTACCAACACAATTCTTTACAGACCTGGAAAGAAAAATTCTCAAGTTTATATGGAACAACAAGAAACCCAGAATTGTTAAAACAATCCTCTACAATAAAAGATCTTCTGGAGGTATCTCCATCCTTGATCTCAAGCTGTAGTATAGAGCTACAGTTATAAAAACTGCATGGTACTGGCATAGATACAGAATGGTGGATCAATGGAACCGAACAGAGGACCCAGAAATAAACCCACACACTTATGGACACCTGTTCTTTAACAAAGATGCCAAAACCATACAATGGAAAAAAGATAGCATCTGCAACAAATGATGCTGGTCTAACTGGATGTCTACATGTAGAAACATGCAAAGAGATACATACTTATCACCCTGCACAAAAGTAAAGTCCACGTGGATCAAAGACCTCACCATAAAACCAGACACATTAAATTGGTTAGAAGAAAAAGTGGGGAAGACCCTAGAACTCAATTGGCACAGGAGACAACTTCCTGAACAGAACACCAAAAGCACAGGCTCTAAGAGCAACAATCAATAAATGGGACCTCATGAAACTGAAAAGCTTCTATAAAGCAAAGGACACCGTCATCAAGACAAAACGAATGCCTACAGATTGGGAAAGAATCTTCACCAACCCTTTTTCTGACAGAGGGCTAATATCCAGTATATATAAAGAACTAAAGAAGCTGAAAAGCAGCAAACCAAGTAATCCAATTAAAAAATGGGGAACAGAGCTAAACAGGGAACTCTCTGTAGAGGAATATCAAATGGCAGAGAAACACTTAAAGAAATGCTCAACGTCATTAGCCATTAGGGAAATGCAAATCAAAATGACCCTGAGATTTCACCTTACACCCATCAGAATGGCCAAGATGAAAACCTCAAGTGACAACACATGCTGGAGAGGTTGTGGAGAAAGGGGAACCCTCCTTCACTGCTTCTGGGAATGTAAACTTGTACAACCACTCTGGAAATCAATCTGGCACTTTCTCAGACAACTAGGAATCGTGCTTCCTCAAGACCCAGCCATACCACTCCTAGGCATATATTCAAAAGAGGCTCAAGTACACAATAAGGATATTTGCTCAACCATGTTTGTAGCAGCTTTATTTGTGATAGCCAGAAGCTGGAAACAGCCCAGATGCCCCTCAACTGAAGAATGGATGCAGAAACTGTGGTACATCTACACAATGGAGTATTACTCTGCAATGAAAAATAAGGAAATCATGAAATTTGTGGGTAAATGGTGGGACCTGGAAAGAATCATCCTGAGAGAGCTGTCCCAGAAGCAGAAAAACACACAGGATATATACTCACTCATATAAACATGCAATATAGGATAAACATACTAAAATCTGTACATCTAAAGATACTAATCAAGAGAAAGGACCCTCACTAAAATGCTCAATCCCCATCCCGAAAGGCAAAGAGAATGGACATCAGAAGAAGAAGAAAACAGGAAACAACTTAGGAACCTGCCACAGAGGGCCTCTGAAAGGCTCTGCCCTGAAGACTATCAAAGCAGATGGTGAGAATTATGGCCAACTGTTGGGCAGAGTGCATGGAATCTTATGTAAGAGGCGGGAAATAGTAAGAGCTGGAGAGGACAGGAACTCCACAAGGAGAGCAACAGAACCAGAAAATTTAAACACAGGGGTCTTCCCAGAGACTCATACTCCAACCAAGGACTATTCATGGAGATAACCTAGAACTCCTGCTCAGATGTAGCCCATGGCAGCTTAGTGTCCAACTGGGTTCCATAGTAATGGGAAGAGGGACTGCCTCTGACATGAACTGATTGGCCTGCTCTTTGATCACTTCCCCCTGAGGGGGGAGCAGCCTTACCAGGCCACAGAAGATGACAATGCAGCCACTCCTGATGTGATCTGATAGACTAAGATCAGAAGGAAGGAGAGGAGGACCTCCCCTATCAGTGGACTTGGGGAAAGGCATGCATGAAGAAAGGGGAGGAAAGGTGGGATCGAGAGGGGAGGATGGAGGGGCTTATGGGGGGATCCAAAGTGAATAAAGTATAATTAATAAAATAAAAAAGAATAAAAAAAGTATGTACCTCATCACCAGGTTGATAGTATCTGAGTTAAATTATAGGCCTGTGTATCTTTGTTACTCACTTTCTTCCCAAGTCTTTCATGTCATCCCTTTTACTTCTTCTCTTAGCTTTCTCCCTTCTATCGTCTATGCACTTCATAGTGCCTTTCCTTCCTCATTGCCCTCTGTGCAAGAAAATTACCATTGTCATCGTTGGTAGTAATCTTGTAGAGAATCATTTTGACTTCATATATTTCCTGACTGCTCCTTGTCACACAGGAAAGGGTCAGCTTGGATTTACAGTCAGAAGTCAGACTACTGGCCCTGTGCGGTGTTGATATCATCACATTATTTATATTCAACCCACAGGCACTTAATATATGTCTTCTAAACCTTTCATATGCATGTGGCTCTTAAATCATATCAGGTCTATTTCATTATTATCACTACAATTGTTCATCTCTCTATGACTACTGATCAGGTTTTGCTCTTTTGTTTCCATTCGATGATTGCAAGAGGTTAGGGTTGATATCTCTAGCCTGGAGTCTCTAAGATGTCCCTTAGAGAATGTAACCAGACCGAGTGTCATAGCACAATGGGGGGTATGATTCTTACACTTACATGTGTTATACCTCCACATTGATCTCTACTGTTCAATCTCCTTAGTTTAGGCCCTTTTAAAACAAGTATTGGATGGCCTGGACTACCTCATTTTCTTGCCTTTCTTCTAACAGTCACTATTGAAACCAGATGGAATACTTACATTATTGTGGAGGTGATTCTTTCTGTGTGACGGATTCTATCTATAAAAAATGCTCCACATTAGTTATTATTTTATTCTCTCTCTCTCTCTTTCTTTCTCCTGTTCTGGCTGGTTCTTATGTCAACTTTACAGAAGTTAGAATCCTTTTATAAGGGGGATCCTCAATTGAAAATACACCCCCCACAAAACTGGCCTGCAAGCAAGCCTGTGGAGTCTTTTCTTGATTGATGATTGATGTGGGAGGGCCAAGATCACTGTTGAATGTGCCACCCTTGGGTTTGTGGTCCTGGGTTCTATAAGAAAGCAGGCTCAGCAAGCCATGTGAAGCAAGCCAGTAAGCACCACTCCTTCATGGCTTCTGCATCAAATCCTGCCTCCAGGTTACTGCCTGGTTTCAGTTCCTTCTCTGACTTCCCTCAGTTGAAATAAAAACTTTTTTCCCTAGTTACTTACAGTCATGTTGTTTTAACACAACCATAGAAACCATAAGAAAATGTATGTTTACATATATATATATATACATATATATACATGCATTTGTGTATATATATATATATATATATATGCATTCATACATACATATATACATACATACATTGTGTGTGTTCCTGTGCATGTGGACATTAGAGAACAATCCTGGAAGTTGGGTTTATCATTCACTGTGTCACCCCTGGCAATCAAACCCTAGTTGTCAGGCTTGGTGGCAAGTACTTTTACCCACTGAACCATCTGGATAGTTCTACATCAAACATTTAAGGATACTGAAGAGCTATTAATCTCTTGAGATCTTGCTCTAAACATTGTATCTGCCAGGAGATTCTACATTCATCATTTTCCTTCTTTTGTACTTCTTAGGCATGTGGTACACACTTTATCCTATCCTATTAATATCTCTTTCCTGACACCATGGAGCTTTAGGTAGAAAGCAGAGCTTGGTTTATCCCTGTCACTAGTAACTTGCCACAGTACCATGCACCATAACAGTAATGAACTAATATCTAAACGTATGAAAGACAGTTTTGTTCTGTATACATTGCAAAGTTAAGCACATTTCCTATACAATTTTGATTTCCAAATTCTAAATTGGCACAATAAGGCAGTAGCTATGAATATGTGGCATCTCCTTTTTGAAGCCCACGACAGTTTAACAGAAGAGAATGCCATTGAATATCGTCCCACCTGAGGGACAATTCCCTGGCTCCCTGACCAAATTGACTCTAAAATCTTATTGCTTTTCTTCTCAGTATTGTCTGAGGATCATATATTTAACAGCCCTTGAGAATTATCTCTAGTCATTATTGCCCCAGCTCTGAATTTGTGATTTTTCTATAATTTTCCCTCACTCAAGGTCTTCTGACACCCATTATCTTCCTACCATTAAGAAATGCTTGGATCTTTATAAGAAAGTGCTTAGATCTTTTGTTCTCACATAGGTCAATCTGGTGTAATATGTTGAATGACCTTACTTTATGGTCAACATAATGAGTTTTCCAACATGCATTTTTCATCTCTGCCCACTTTGCTAGTGCAGGTTAACCTTTGTATTCTCATGTCATCATTTTAGCCTTTCAGTCTGCTTCCACAGTTGACATCATGTCTGGTATGGGGACCAGAAGACCAGTCTGTTTTCTGGGGATACTTAGGGTTGACACCCTTGATCTTGGCACTGTCAACTGCTAGAGTTGATTTTAGTAGGTTGACAAGTAAGTGTGATAAATGTGTCACCGGTGAGCAGTCTGTTTGTCTAAATGCAGTAAGTTCTTCCCTGTGTGCGTTCCCTTGGGGAGTAAAATCACTGTTTTTGCAAAGAGACACTAAACAAAAACCCAATGTATTGTACTTTACATGAACTAAGTTCCTACTCTTTCTTTTTTGTCCACTAGGGAGACCTCTGAGTATTATGGTTCTCTAAACATCAGCTCTGAGATATGTTGATTCATAGATGAGCTGATGTATTCTCATCTATGTAAAAGCTTTCATGGCGGATAAGAACTTAGTAACAAAAGCTTAACCTTACAATTTTAATTGAGAAATTAAGTTGTAAATATATAGTTTTCAACATTAAAACTATGCCTTACCATCTAGTTCTAAAACATTGAAACAATGTAGATTCAAGAGACTTTTTAATGTAAATAAACCATTGTGGCTTTGATGTTTTCCCTTTTGCTCATCAAGGTCGTGGGTCTAAAAATCCCAAAATAACATGTTTTCCTGCTTATTCTGAAATTTCTTTGTTAAGACACTTTTCCACTTTCAATATCTTTTTAAATCAAGGACACAAATTTATAGAGGAATTATATTGTCAAATCATAAGAATAATTGTATCTATTAAATAAAAATGCATCCCAAGCACTGAAAATTTAGTTCATTTTTTAAAAATGAAGTTAACAGAGAGCCAGTATTTACTGGCTGACATGCTGCCTGCTAGAATGTAAACTACAGCTGTCAAATCACAGAATCTGGATTTAGTTGAAAAGGCTTGTTCTAAACATTTCTGTATCTCAAAGAGAAGTATATTCAATGTAGCATTGAAAAGGAAACAAACCTGCACATTCGGCACTGAGTAGATATCCCCATAGGAAGATGGTGATGAGACTCGGTGACTCTGCCATGATGGTGCTCAGGTGCTGCATGACCTTTGCTAGTAGGTTGTGCAAGTGTCAGGGCTGATCAATTGTTCCAAAGTACAAGCTGAATCAGATTTACTTCTGGGAAATTATTATCCATCTCCCTCACTGGGTCTTTCAGCTATTTCTAGTTGTTTCTAGGGTCAAGGGAAGAGAATGGGCAGGCCTCATAATTAAAGTGCACCTTGGTGTCATGGGCTTCTGCCACTGGCCAGGACTACAGTTGTACTGACAGCAAAGTTAATCATTTTAACTTCATCAGAGAGCAATAATATAGAGGTTAAGGATCACTGAATATTTATGTTAAAATATATTAAAATATATTTCTAAACTGAATTTATAGATTGGAAAGATTTTTTTATATACTTCATTGTAATCAGAAATTTACAATCTTTCTTGTGCCATGTGCCAATATAGTGACATACATAGATAGACCTTGTCTCTGAAAACATGTGTATATGGCAGAAGTATACATGTATATCTATATATGTACACATACATACATATTATATATACAAAGATGTGAACATTATTACACAATAGTATATAAAAATGTAGGACATTATACCATGACTCATCTACTATTAAAAACTCATAAGCAAGCCAGTCGTGGTGGCACATGTTTTTAATCCCAGTCCTTGGGAAGGAGAGGCAGATGGATCTCTGATATCACGATGAACATTATTTACCTAGCAAGCTATCTTGTAAAAGCTATCTATTGTGACCTTGCCTCAAAAAAAATCACCCCCACCAAAACAAACAGACAGACAACAAGCAAACAAACAAAAACTCAAAAGAAAAAAAAATCTCGACTTCAGACAGGGAAGCAGATCTTCACCTCTCCCTCCTGTTCTTTAATACCGTATGCTCAGTTCCAGCTCTGTAGCAAATCACCTGATGTGACTTCCCCTCCCTTTCTGTCTCCACCTCCAATGGACAGAGCAGATGTTATCCTCCACTCTTCTCCCCACTCCTATTATCCCAACTCTAGCAGCCATTTCCTGGGAAGCTTCCAGCCAAGCCTGCTAGAGAAGCAAGTAGGCCAGCAAAGCAGGTAGGCACACTTCAGATCTTCACAAATCCAATTCCCCAGTCTCTTTCCCAGCTCTGTGGCAGACTACCTGTTGTGGCCTCTCCTAACTTTCTCCTCCCATTCCCAAAGGACTAAGCAGATCCTGGTGGAAGACCATGCTTTCTTCCCTCCCGTGCACACCTCAAACCCCCACTCCGGGCTTATCTCTACTCCTAAGTGTCATCTCCCAATACCTAGGAACACATTTTACCCAGAACCCCCAGTTGCAACACCTAGCACGATCCCAGGAGCATTGTGCTTCTGGCAACACACAAGCACCACACTCTCCTTAGAACCAGAGATTACAACTGAAACCAAGGAACAAAACACCATTCTAACAAAGACAAGACAAGACAAGACACCAGCACTTAGAATTTCAATCTTCCTAAACCTAGATGCCTAGACACCAGAGTTAAACATGCTCAGTAACAACAACCAGGACAATATGTCTTCCGAAGAGCCAATAAACCTGCCACAGTAGGTCCTGCAATTTGCAGCATAGCTGAAGCACAAGACAAACACCTTAAAATAGCCCAGGACATAACAGATGTTAGATATAGAGAAAGGGAATAGGGAGGCAGATAGAATAGAGAATTATAGATGGGTTGAGGTGGGCGGGAAGGAGAGGTTCAAGTTGGATGGGAATGAGAGAGGGGTAAAAGGGAGAGAACATGGGGATAGTCAGATAAAATTAAGGGCTATTTGAGAAGTAGTATGGGAACATAATATAAGCTCCCTATTACATACACATATATGAAGGCAAAGTAAAAGTAATAACCAAATAATGGGGTAGGCTGGACATCTCGTCACCAAAGGAAGCTTCAAGTACCAGGAATGAGTTATATCTAATTGAGTTTTTGGCCAAGGGTGTTCCATGGAAATTTCTGAACAACTTAGGCTGTTGGCAAGACTATAGATTGCTCTCCACAAACTGATGGCATGGCCCTATCGCTGAAGATGACACCTTCATAACTCACTGAAGGTGAAAAGTTGAGCTGGTGCCTACCTAGAGCTCTTAGCCCTAAATAATAGTGTCTTTGGTACGGGAAGGTTCTCTGCAGTCTACCAATGGAGAAACATAAGCACCAACCACAAACTCTTTTATTTACAATGGTGTCCTGCCTGTAAGATAAGCTAATGCAATGGTGGCACAAAGCTTGTGCGAGTAACCAACCAATATCTGATTTGACTTAAGGCTTGCTCCACAAAATGGAACTCATACCCAACACTTCTTGTGTGACAAAGAACCTGAGACTAGATAACCCAGGGACCTAAGGTGAAACCAAACAGTACTGATTTGAAAAAAGAACATAACAATAAAATGACATTCTCTTATACTCCTAGATCAGATTCTTGCTCACCACCATCAGAGAAGCATCCTCCTGTAACAGACAAGGAAAAATATATAATCTGACATGCAGAAAATATTCAGAGAGTGAGACATCTTGGAACACTCAGCTCTAAATGGTATGTCTTCATCAAACCCCTTCTCTTGGGGCTCAGAGAACACTGTGAAATAAGAGGCAGGAAAAAATATAAGTGGATGGAGGATACCAAGAACACAAGGCTCTCTAACTCAAGAATATCGATGCACATATGAACTCATAGAGACTAAGGCAACATGCACAGGGCTTGCGCAAGGCTGCATCAAACCGGGTTCCAGAGGTGAACGAAATGGGCACATCTCCCATTCACTAGCCAGGAAGTTATCTTCAATTAATACCACTTGCAAATGAAAATTTAGTTTTCTCCAAGGGAGTCTCACTGGAGAAGCAAACTACTGTTAAGGGTAGGCTGCATGCCCAGCAGAAGATGGACAACAGAACATGAACTCAGTAACATCTTGGGAGGTCCTTTGTCTCAGTATCATGTCAGAGCTCTTTTTAAAAATTTATCTCTTAAAGTTTTCATTTTATTTATGTATTTAATTATTTATATTTTCAATTTCTCCTTTTAGACTACAGGTTCTTTGTGTATATATTATGGCTGAAAGCAGTTTAGTGTTTTTATCGGATACCTGAGTGTGTGAACTAGTGGATTTCTGAGTCTATATCTGTTCGTTGTGCCTTTTCTTGGGCTCTTTTTCTTCTGTTTGTCTTCTTATTCTGATGACTTAGTTTTTGCTTTATCTTGTTACACTGTATTTTATTTCATTATTTTCCCTTAGAAGCCTGTCTGTTTGTGTCTAACAAGAGATGAACCAGGGCGGATCTGAATGGGGGGAGGGAAGAAGGAAAGGTGGAGGAACTGGGAGGAACAGAGGAAAGGAAACTAATCAGGATACAGTCTATGAGAAAAAAAAATCTGTTTTAAGTAAATTTAAAATATCTCATGAGACTATACTTCAATTTCCCTGTATTTCTTTGTGGTAATTTTAGAGACATTTCTATTTTATGTGTATGTATGTTTGCTCGCATGTATGTCTATGCACCATGTGGGTGCAGTGCCCATGGAAGCCAGAAGAAGGTTTCAGATTCCCTCTAGTACAAGAGTTACGGACAGTTGAAAGCTGCTATCTGGGTGCTGAAAATTGAACCATGTTTTTTTTTT